CGCGGTTTCCCGAAGATAACAACTGGGTATCTTAGTTGCCATAAAACTTTGGCATTTTTCGTTTTTGGTAAGGATTGATGGCCGTCATATGGATAGAAAAATGAGGAAACACACTCGTTGATTCCATCACCACTGTAACCCTCATTGCACTGACAGAAGTAACCACCAGGTGTATTTGTGCAAACAGCATTTTCATGACAGGTATTTGGGTGAGTGCACTCATTGATATCTAAACATTATCTTTCGAATAGCTGAATTGACAATTTTTTTTATCAACTAGTAGCATCTAGCAAAGCCTGCAAAACTATGCTTTACTGAATGGTTTTTTGTGATATAAAGTGACCTACCAACACACTCTTGGCTTCCGACTCCAGTATAACCGGCAAGGCATTGACAACGTGGAATTGGTTCACCACATCTATCATAATCCACAAAAGTTACTGCGTTTGGTGCACATCTTATACTTTTCGCAGCGCTACATTGTTCTTTTTCTAAAATTTATAAAAGTTAAAAATGAACACACAGTCAAACAATTTATCGTAGAAAACCGTGTTTTCAAACGGCATTTTAATTGACTGGTAACTAAAAAATCAGATTACAGCCATCAGCTTCTTTTTCGAACCAATTGTTTACCATAAAACAATCGACATCGACTTCATTGCTGCTTTTTTTAACTTTGAAAGCTTACTAGTTTGACAGAACGGTGCTCCAGTCCAACATTCAGCACACAGTCCTTTGGCACATTCACCAGTTATTATATTGCAACCGGCGCTAGCACAATGGCAACAGTTTACACAGTCAGGTCCCCATTCGCCGGCAGCGCATTCTGCAAAAAGAAAGACAACTGACTTCAAAAAGTTTTTCTTTCAAGCATTTTATTGAAATAAAGAGCAAGAAATTTTGAAATTTTGATGTCTACAATTTTTATGATTCAAACAACATAAAACCACTGTTTACATTTACTTCCTCCAAATACTGTGCAAACTAATTTTATTATAAAATAATAGAGGAAATCAAGAAGAAGAAGCAGGAGTAAATTTGAAACAATTAATGTAACCTTCATCGCATGTGTCTCCTTTGACACCACTTTTACATCGTTCAATTCTGTTGTCTGTAAAAATAAACATCCATTCACCGGGAATACCAGTGTTACCGTACTCCTCCAGATACATAACATTTCCAGTACCAGATGTTGGCAGAGCATAATAGTTACTTCCATCACCTTTGTTAAAACCGGCCTACGAATTATGCAACAGTAATACTGATTAAAATTAATCCTCTTTTTTTACTGTTAAAGTTTCCTTTATAACTCTACAAATTTTATCTAACTAAAACCGATTAGGAAATACTTTTTCTTAGTCTTCTCTTCCTTTCTATTCTTTTTTAAACAATAACAAAAAAAAATCTGAAAAGATGGTAAAGTAAACTCACATAATTCTAACTAAATTCAATAGTAGTTCCCTTTATGATACAATAATTTCACCCTT